GATTTAGGCTGATTAGTAAATATTTAGTTCTTGCTTTAAATGATGAATTTACTTTGAAATAAAGCAGATTATCTGATGCACAGTGAGGAGGTAACTCCAGCAGTTGGGCTGAGCCAACGTGGCTGTGTGTGGTTAATGATGCTCCTGTACCCCTTTGGACCAGCTCCAGGGGCTGCATGATTGTTTTGCTGTCAACCTATAAATTCTTGAGTAACAACAAAATTATTGTGATTTTTCTTACTAAATAATTCATATCTCACAAAGTCCATAAGCAGGCCCATGAATCACTGAGCATGTAACAATCATATCTAATGGCATTTCTTCTTTTAAGGAAAAAAGCAGTTTTATCATCTTGTTCAAAAATCAAAGTGGTCTAATTCAATATTTACATTTTAAACCTGAAAGTTTCCTTGATCAGCGTTTTTGTCTGAAGGATAGTTTCGAATCATGTTTTCCACTTTTAATTATATTAGGATTATTAATATCACTGCAAGTAATAAATTGGCTTTATAATGAACTAGAACAGGGTTCATAAACTGTGTTTAAATCAAAGTTGTATGTTCTCTACTTTTTAAAAGACTTCAATRCAAACCAAACATCTTATTATTTTCTAGGATAAAATACATCTTTTAAGCAAACTTGRAATATATTGGCGACAATTTTTATTCCATAGTCCTTTGCTGCAATGCTGAAACTGCCACGTTTTCTTAGGTGTATTTAAACAGAAAAATACAGCCCAAAAAGTAAATCAGGACTTCTATTTCCAGAAATAGGGRAAGAAATCAAGATAACTCTCAGAATTATGAACTCACTTTCCYGGGGTGAACATGATGAAGGAGTTACAACAAAAGCCAATTTAAATTAAATGGCYGCAGTAAATAATATATGAAGCAAAATCCCCTTTGCTTCAGGGAAAGTTGCTCTAAACCAGAGGCCTAAGGGCATTCAACTATTAAAAAATACCTGAATTTCATTCAATAATAACAACATACATCAGGGAGATCTAGAATTATGGTTTGTGAAGAGATGTAGGTCAACACACAAGGTAAAGTGAGGACACATCTAAATTCTGCTCAAGTCAATGGAAGGTCAGCTGGCTCCAGGTTTTCCTGAAAACTGGAGAAAAGCACTGGATATTGTTCCAGGGAAAGAGAGGGGAGCAGAAAGGGAGCACAACCACTGGTTTCTGAGACAATATGARAGTACTAATCATAAATAGTATGCCAGTATCTAAATCCAGAATTAATTTATAACCGGAAGAAAAGAGAAGAACTTCGTTTTGAACTGTGTCCACCGCAAGCAGTCCATCAACTGGTGATAA